TTTTGATATATCTACTTATTAAGTTGCTCACGAAAACGCCATTGAGTCCCATGTTAATTTATCAATATTCAAAGGACCACCTGCAGAACAGTTCAAGAGCAATAAAGCCAATCTTCCTGGTATGTAAACATATGTTGCTTGTCTTCAAAATAAGAAAGGTTACAAGCTTGATTCTGTATAGTTCCAAAGATATTGGTGTTTGAATTTTGGAAAATTCCCATTGACCGCCATTATAAACTTCTATCAATATGGCTTTACTAAAGTGCCATTTTCTCCAAAAGTTCACAATGGAATTTTCTGATATTGCAGATTTCTATAGCCAATATATTGACTTCTGAAAAAACAAACAGGCACAATTCTAAAACTTTCTTATTTTAATATATTTAGCCCTCAAGTTGACCAAAAATCCCCATTGGCTGCCATTATAAACTGCTATAAACATGGATTTACGAATAAAGTATACTTTTCTCCAAAAGTCCACTATGCAATTTTCTGATTTATAGATATAGGAAATCTGCAATATCAGAGAAATTCATATTGGACTTCTTGGGGAAAGGACACTTTAGTAAAAGCATATTGATATCAGTTTATAATGGCAGTCAATGGGGAATTTTGTATGTGATTTGTGGCTAGATATATTAAGAAGAAATTTGTAGGAATGTGCCTGTTTGGTTTTTAAAAAGTAAATATATCAATTATAGAAATCTGCAATATCAGAAAAGTCCATAGTGGAGTTTTGGAGAAAATGGCACTTTGGTAAAGCCATATTGATAGTAGTTTATAATGGCAGTCAATGGGGATTTCCCAAAATTTAATCGTCAATATCTTTTGAACTATATAAAATCCAGCTTGTAACCCTTCTCATTTTGAAGTCATCCATGTTATGGTTACATACTAGTAAGATTGACTTTATTGCTCTTGAACTGTTCTGCAGGGGGTCCTTTGAAGATTGATAAATTAACATGGGACTCAATGGAGTTTTCGTGAGCAACTTAACAACTAGATATATTAAAAATAACAAATTTTTAGAAATGTGCCTGTTTGGTTTTTTAAAAGTCAATATATTGGCTGTAGAAATCTGCAACATCAGAAAATTCCATAGTGGACTTTTGGAGAAAATGACCCTTTAGTAAAGCCATATTGAGAGTAGTTTATAATGGCAGTCAATGGGAATTTTTCAAAATTCAAATACCAATATCTTTTGAACGAAATAAAATCTAGCTCGTAACCCTTCTTAATTTGAAGACATTTGAGTCATGGTTACATACTAGGAAGATTGACTTTATTGCTCTTGAACTGTTCTGCAGGGGGTCCTTTGAAGATTGATAAATTAACATGGGGCCCAATGGAAACATGCAAAATTCTCGAAGCCTGTTATTATCCACTGGGGCCGCTTTTTGACACCACTTCGGTGGATTTCATAAATATATGTAATAATGATACTTTGGTCAAAAAATGGTGCCGTATATATAGCAAGTGCAATTCAAGGGTTTTATTGTCATAACTGACTGCACTATGAGCAAAATTATTGTCCACAACTTGACTTATAAGTGGTGTAGAATCGAGAAATAAAAATATCTTTCCGAAACCGAAGCACGGAAGTTCTTCCATCTTGTTACGCTGACGTATATCGTCAGCGTAACTAGGTCAGTACCAGTGAATAATGTTATCAGGAAGGTGCATGATATATAAACCTATATAGAACTATCATTATATCATGTGAGGAATTATGCAAGTTAAGGTGCTATGGAAGTTAACAGGAAATGACAAAACAGGAAGTGACAATTTTTTTTGCATTTTTAGACATTTTTTGAACAAAGATAACAGAGTTCTGTTTTGACCTCCAGTCAATTCAACTAGTTCCAAATACCATTTACAGGTCCAGGATCACAATGTTCATGGTCAGAATGATTTCATCATGTTAAGGGTCATTCTGACCATGCACATTGTGATCCTGGACCTGTAAATGATATGGGGAACTAGTTGAATTGACTGGAGGTCAAACCCGAACTCTTTTATCTTTGTTCAAAAAATGTCTAAAAATGCAAAAAAATTTGTCACTTCCTGTTTCGTCATTTCCTGTTAACTTCCATGTCACCTTAATAACCCTTTGCGTAGAGATTGCACGAACCACGCGTGTCAAGCTTGTACATTTTATCAATAGACATTTTGTATGATTTCCACTGATGTACAAAACAGACTAACCGAAGGGTTGCCGTTTGGACAGGTAAACCCAACAGAGCGTTTCTATAAAAGGCAATGTCGTCTTTGGCAATGAAATAACAATTTTACAATTGAAATCACAATTTCAGTTTTGGTACTTTGCAGCTTGGACTTTGACTAGTGTAGCAATATACACTGTTGCCCATAAATGTGGAATATTCGATTTGCCAGATCTGAATTCAAATCATAAACACATATTTGATCTACAAATCAACATTTTTAGGGAAAAATATTTATAGTTTAGTTTGCTTAGTTGGTTATTTATCTATTTATAGTGGCCAGTCTTACAATTCAATAAAATAAAAATAAATTAATTACAATTTTACCCAGCCCATCTTGGGCTTATTAGCCACTGTTTAGGAAATGCAAAATTAATACACGAAAATCAATATCACATGTTATATTTTTTGTCCTTTTAAAATGGGGTAGTCTAAAAATGCATTTTCAAAACACCCCGATCCAAATTTTAATCTAAAGCGGATCAAACAAGCTAAACATCAGGGTCAGGTCATGATGAAGATGAAGGAGTCCTCTATCCAATAACAGTGCGGTATGTCCTCATCGTATTGGAATCAACGGGTCCAACTGTCGATGAGATGTCTGATCTGTCTACGCGCAATAAGGTCCGACAACTTAATCAGGGGACTATATAACCCTGCTAGATTTTGAGATACAGTATGGGATCCCTGTAATGAAATGCGCCCGGAAATCAGTTTCTTCTAGATCTCACATTTGCTTTACAGAAGCCTGATCGGATGACTTTGGTGCCTATGGTACCGTATCTGCTTCGCATTGCCTGCCCTGGGGAAATCCTGCACAATGCAGCTATCATGGGCACGAGCTTGATCATGCTGCAGTTGAAAGTTATGCCCAAACACTCTGTTTGCATGTGGTACTAGATGCAGGTCCAAAATGTCACTGTACCTCTCACCGCTGACATTACCACTGAGACTCGCCAAGGGGGTGCAACTCTCCTATGTGAAACCGCCTCAAATATGAACAGAACCACCTCCAAAGAAGCTACTTTTAATATCATTCAGTTTATGCGCAAATGTGAGGAGAAAATCGGCAGTCAATAAACATTTTTATGTCACCACCACCAAAAGTGGTGACATATTGTGGTGGTCTCCATTTTTTTGCGACGGTGGTTGGTGGTTGGAGGTTGGCGTCCGGCGGTTGGTGGTTGGAGGTTGGCGTCCGGCGTCTGTAACAATTTCTTACAACTTCCGATAACTTAACAAATACTGTTTAGACTGACTTCAACTTTTTTCTAAATCATCTACATGTTCTCAGAAGTTCAAATCTGACTTTATATACTAGTATGACATTTGACCTTCAATGACCTTCTCAAGGTCAAAAAGGTCTTTTTCAACTTGCTTCACATTGACTAAATCTTTTTTCAAAATCATCTACATGTTCTCAGAAATTCAAATCTGACTTAAGATTTGACTTTAGATTTGACTTTAGATTTGACATTTGACCTTCAAATCTGACTTTAGATTTGACATTTGACCTTCAATGACCTTCTCAAAGTCAAAAAAGGTCAAAAAGGTCTTTTTTCAACTTGCTTCAAATTGACTAAATTTTTTTTTCAAAATCATCTACATGTTCTCAGAAATTCAGATCTGACTTTAGATTTGACATTTGACCTTCAATGACCTTCTCAAGGTCAAAAAAGGTCAAAAAGGTCTGTTTTCAACTTGCTTCAAATTGACTAAAAAAATTCTTCAAAATTATCTACGTGTTCTCAGAAATTCAAATCTGACTTTAGATTTGACTTAAGATTTGACATTTGACCTTCAATGACCTTCTCAAAGTCAAAAAAGGTCTTTTTCAACTTGCTTCAAATTGACTAAAATTTTTTTTCAAAATCATCTACATGTTCTCAGAAATTCAAATGTGACTTTAGATTTGACATTTGACCTTCAATGACCTTCTCAATGTCAAAAAAGGTCAAAAAGGTATTTTTTCATCTTGCTTCAAATTGACTAAATTTTTCAAAATCATCTACATGTTCTCAGAAATTCAAATATGACTTTAGATTTGACTTTAGATTTGACATTTGACCTTTAATGACCTTCTCAAGGTCAAAAAAGGTCTTTTTTCAACTTGCTTCAAATTGACTAATTTTTTTTTTCAAAATCATCTACATGTTCTCAGAAATTCAAATCTGACTTTAGATTTGACATTTGACCTTTAATGACCTTCTCAAGGTCAAAAAAGGTAAAAAAGGTCTGTTTTCAACTTGCTTCAAATTGACCAAATTTTTTGACCAATCTTTTCAGAAGTTCAAATTTGACTTTTACAAGTTCTCAGAAGTTCAAATCTGACTTTAGATTTGACCTTTGACCTTCAATGACCTTCTCAAGGTCAAAAAGGTATTTTTTCAACTTGCTTCAAATTGACGAATTTTTTTTCAAAATCATCTACATGTTCTAAGAAGTTCAAATCAAACCTTCTTAAGGTCAAAAGGTATTTTCCAACTTGCTTTAAATTGACCAAATTGTTTTAGGTGGTGATATTTTGTCATGTTAATGCCTTGTTAACAAATTATTATCGTTTGTTAGCCTTGCCCAAGTCGGTATTTCTACTTATCTGATCTTGAATTATTACCGCCGGTCATAATAGAAATCAAAGTAAAAGAGACCGACTTGGGCAAGGCTTATCGTTTGTTAGAAATATACAAAACATTCCATATTTATGAGCAACAGTGTAAATCAACGAAACGGATTTTAATGGTAGAATGACAAATAAGTTGTATCGATATTGACACTTACATAACTTCATGGAGCTTTCCCAAATGTCTTCAACGTGAATAGTCAGCCAAGTAGCACATGAATATAACACTTTTGATAGTATATGAAACAAGTAACATTATTACCACCATGTCGGGCCTGTTCTAGGGGTATAATAAGTGCTACTTTAGAAGGCTTTTATTTAAGAAAATAGACCGAGCAGGTGTTATATCGACGAATACACCCCGGATAATCGGTGGTAATAATACTAATAATGATAGCACTAATAACGTCATTTCTTCGGGCAAAATCAAGGTGGGTATAGGTAACGCGGCGCAGTCAAGCATATCTGTTCAAAACGAGGCTGCAACGCGGTAAAGACACAAAATGGAGGCAACTCCAATTATCGGAGGCACTTCGTCCTCTGTTTCCTCGAAACATAGGTAAGTTTTTGAAAACTCATGCTTCACACTCGGTGATCAACCCCTTAAGGTATGTAAAGCTATAAGAATTTCTGTTCAGGCATTGACCAGAGTAAAGAAATAGTCAACGCAGATAGATTTCCCGATCCTATTTCTCTTGACCTATCTTCTTATTCCAATTAAGGACTGGTATTTCGCCACTCATGAGCAAATTTAACATTGACATTCAATAGCCTGATACTTATAGAATGTACAATACAAATTAAGATTGAAACTTTTGTTTATTTTCATCGCAATCTGCTTACAAAATTGAACTAGCCGGAAACGCGGCGCAGTCCTTTTCAGCAATTATGGCAACGCGTCGACAGCATAGATTAAATTGTATGGCAACGCGTCGACAGCATAGATTAAATTGTATGGCAACGCGGTGCAGGCATCAACGATAGAACATCAGCTGCATTGCTGTCACTGCGTTTCCAGTTTTGTCAAATATGTATGATGTCTGAACCCGCGTTGCCTAAGTGTCTGAACTGCGTTTCCAAAATATACCTGGTTTTCCACCCAGAATCGGTTAACAGAAGGCAGACAGTGATGAAACTTTGAAGAAATAGAGATTACCGTGGTATAAACGTGATTTAATAGATATGTGTCAAGTGACAAAGTCAAAAACATAGAATTTAAGCTAGAAAAATGCCACAATTGTCAAATTTCAGTAAGTGATTGACTTTGATTGACTTGGAATGTATTTCCTTGATTGACTCAATTTCAAGAAGCTTCACATAGACATACTCTGTGAAGTTCTCCACCGAATGGTATATGCTATTATAACTGTCGCAGACACAAACTAGTGTATGAAGCTTATGAATAAACTTACCGCCCTTTCGACCTTCCACTGAGTGGCCATTTTGTGTCTTTGCCGCGTTGCAGCCTCGTTTTGAACAGATATGCTTGACTGCGCCGCGTTACCTTTGACCACGGTGAAAATAGTGAAATATTTCACCATTGCCCTTTGAAATGACGTTATTGAACTATCATCAGGATTGGTTAGTATATACTTGGGCAAGGTTAACATGTACATACACAGCCGCTTTTAAATCCAATAAATAATGTTATAGGGTTGTAATCATTGCATTGCCAATATACTATACTATCACTCCTTATATAAAAATGACATTGCCCAGTTATTTATGAAATGCACTGTGATGACATCAATCTTTTATCAATAATGACACGGTTCAGCTCATTATGAAATCATAATGCATGTGTATACATGTACAATAATATTTCTGCTCAGTTGACGGTATACCTTGAATTAATGCACTGATCAAAATACTTTTAGCTGATCGGCTGAGACACACTTTGCATATTTGAATTACTCTTATATTATAATTTCATTGTAAATGCATTTTCTTTGTGAATTCCAGATGACATGATATAACGACAACCTAGCTATCAATATGATGAGGTACTCGACTGTCCTTCCTACATGTATTTTGGTATTCCTTATCGTCTTGTCTACTGCTGAGGACACAAGCGATTTCCAGACTTGCACCTTGCAAGTTGAAATGCGAGTGGAACTCAACGGGCTTCACACTCGTATTGCGCAAGACCAAAAGGGAGTACTAGTTGAACACAATTCTTCGTCTGGAGTGAACGGACCACCAGGACCACCCTGGAGTCTGGTCAATGGACCACCCGGAAGACTAGCGAATGGACCAACCGGGAGTCTAGTGAATGGACCACCCGGAAATCTAGTGGACGGACCACCAGGACCACCCGGAAGTCTAGTGATTAGGCCACTCGGACCACTCGGACCACCCGGAAGTCTAGTGAATGGGCCACCTGGACCACCTGGAAGTTTAGCAAATGACCCACCCGGACCACCCGGAAGTTTAATAAATGGGCCACCCGGAAGTCTAATGAATGGAAACCCCGGACCACCCGGAAGTATAATGAATGGGCCACCCGGACCACCCGGAAGTTTAGTAAATGCGCCACCCGGACCACCCGGAAGTCTAGTGAATGGATCACCCGGACCACCTGGAAGTCTAATGAATGGGCAACCCGGACCACCTGGAAGTTCAGTAAATGGGCCACCCGGACCACCTGGAAGTTCAGTAAATGGGCCACCCGGAAGTCTAGTGGACGGACCATCAGGACCACCCAGAAGTCTAATGAATGGGCCACCCGGACCACCTGGAAGTCTAATGAATGGGCCATCTGGACCACCTGGAAGTTCAGTAAATGGGCCACCCGGACCACCCGGAAGTCTAGTGGACGGACCACCAGGACCACCCGGAAGTCTAGTGATTGGGCCATCCGGATGTCTAGTAATTGGGCCATCCGGAAGTCTAATGAATGGACCACCCGGACCACCTGGAAATGGGCCACCCGGACCACCTGGAAGTTCAGTAAATGGGCCACCCGGACCACCTGGAAGTTCAGTAAATGGGCCACCCGGACCACCCGGAAGTCTAGTGGACGGACCATCAGGACCACCCGGAAGTCTAATGAATGGGCCACCCGGACCACCTGGAAGTCTAATGAATGGGCCATCTGGACCACCTGGAAGTTCAGTAAATGGGCCACCCGGACCACCCAGAAGTCTAGTGGACGGACCACCCGGAAGTCTAGTGATTGGGCCACCCGGACCACCCGGAAGTCTAATGAATGGACCACCCGGAAGTCTAATAAATGGACCACCTGGAAGTCTAATGAAAGGGCCACCCGGACCACCTGGAAGTTCAGTAAATGGGCCACCTGGACCACCTGGAAGTCTAGTGGACGGACCACCAGGACCATCCGGAAGTCTAATGAATCGACCACCTGGAAGTTCAGTAAATGGGCCACCAGGACCACCCGGAAGTCTAGTGATTGGGCCACCTGGACAACCTGGACCACCCGGAAGTCTAGTGAACGCACCACCAGGACCACCCGGAAGTCTAGTGAACGGACCACCCGGAAGTCTAGTGAACGGACCACAAGGACCACCCGGAAGTCTAGTGAACGGACCACCAGGACCACCCGGAAGTCTAGTGAACGGACCACCAGGACCACCCGGAAGTCTAGTGAACGGACCACCCGGACCATCCGGAAGTCTAATGAATGGACCACCCGGACCACCTGGAAGTCTAATGAATGGGCCACCCGGACCACCCGGAAGTTCCGTTAATGGGCCACCCGGACCACCCGGACCAGCCGGACCACCTGGAAGTCTAGTAAACGGACCAACAGGACTACCCGGATGTCTAGTGATTGGACCACCCGGTCCATCCGGAAGTCTAGTGAATGGGCCCCCTGGACCACCTGGAAGTCTAGTGAACGGACCACCCGGACCATCCCGAAGTCTAAAGAATGGACCACCCGGACCATCCGGAAGTCTAAAGAATGGACCACCCGGACCACCTGGAAGTCAAATGAATGGGCCACCCGGACCAACTGGAAGTTCAGTAAATGGGCGAACCGGACCAGCCGGACCACCCGGACCAGCCGGACCAGTCGGACCACCAGGAAGTTTAGTGAACGGACCACCAGGACCACCCGGTTGTCTAGTGATTGGGCCACCTGGTCCATCCCGAAGTCTAGTGAATGGGCCCCCTGGACCACCCGGAAGTCTAGTGAACGGACCACCCGGACCACCCGAAAGTCTAATGATTGAGCCACCCGGACCACCCGGAAGTCTAGTGAATGGAAATCCCGGACCACCCGGAAGTTCAGTAAATGGGCCACCCGGACCACCCGGAAGTCTAGTGGACGGACCACCAGGACCACCCGGAAGTCTAGTGATTGGGTCACACGGACCACCCGGAAGTTTAGTGAACAGACCACCAGGACCACCCGGATGTCTAGTGAACGGACCACCAGGACCACCCGGATGTCTAGTGAACGGACCACCCGGACCTCCCGGATGTCTAGTGATTGGGCCACCCGGACCACCCGGAAGTCTAGTGATTGGGCCACCCGGACCACCCGGAAGTCTAGTGATTGGACCACCCGGACCATCCGGAAGTCTAAAGAATGGACCACCTGGAAGTCTAATGAATGGGCCACCCGGCCCAACCGGAAGTTCAGTAAACGGGCCACCCGGACCAGCCGGACCACACGGACCAGCCGGACCAGTTGGACCACCCGGAAGTTTAGTGAACGGACCACCAGGACCACCCGGATGTCTAGTGATTGGGCCACCCGGTCCACCCGGAAGTCTAGTGAATGGGCCCCCTGGACCACCCGGAAGTCTAGTGAATGGACCACCCGAAAGTCTAGTGAATGGAAATCCCGGACCACCCGGAAGTTCAGTAAATGGGCCACCCGGACCACCCGGAAGTCTAGTGGACGGACCACCGGGACCACCCGGAGGTCTAGTGATTGGGTCACCCGGAACACCCGGAAGTCTAGTGGACGGACCATCAGGACCACCCGGAAGTCTAGTGGACGGACCACCAGGACCACCCGGAAGTTTAGTGAACGAACCACCAGGACCACCCGGAAGTCTAGTGAACGGACCACCAGGACCACCCGGATGTCCAGTGATTGGGCCACCCGGACCACCTGGAAGTCTAATGAATGGACCACTCGGAAGTCTAATGAATGGACCACCCGGAAGTCTAATGGATGGGCCACCCGGACCACCCGGAAGTTTAGTAAATGGGCCACCCGGACCACCCGGAAGTTTAGTAAATGGGCCACCCGGACCACCCGTAAGTTATGTAAATGGGCCACCCGGAAGTCTAGTGAACGGAAACCCCGGACCACCCGGAAGTGCAGTAAATGGGCCACCGGGAAGTCTAGTGAATGGACCACCCGGAAGTGCAGTAAATGGGCCACCCGGAAGTCTAGTGAATGGAACACACGGGCCACCAGGAAGGTTAGTGAATGGAACACACGGGCCAACCGGAAGGTTAGTGAATGGACCACCCGGGAGTCTATTGATTGGACTGCGCGGATCATCCGGAGGTCTAGTGAATGGGCTAAATGGACCACTCGGAAGTCTAGTAAATTGGCCACCGGGACCACTCGAAAGTCTAGTGATTGGGCTACCCGAATCAACCGAATGTCTAGTGAATGGGCCACCCAGAAGTCTATGAAGGAAAAGATAAATAACCCCAGCAGCGTTGCAAATTTTGATGCGAAGGACAGCCGAGATGATAAAAGCTATAACTTTGATCCAAGACTTCAATACTCAAATGTTAAACTAGTTCGTCTGCATATGCAATATAATATTCCAAGATTCAACGAGATAGCGAATCTAACTAACCACACGACTTTAATAACCCTCATGCAGACAGATCGCCTAAAATTACATTCGTATATGAAAGACTCGACATTCAACTGGAAACTGGAAACAAATTATTCCATGCCAGGCGCAACAGAATATCGAGTTTGAATAATGGATGAAAATCCTCCTCGGACAGACAGATTTTGATAAAAAATATTATTCAAAATATTATTATAAATGGACACTTCATACGGTATGCTAACAGATTTTTAGTTTAAATGTTATCTTGCTCGTTTGGTTCGATTTTGTAACGGTAACCTCGAGGTGTACTCAAATCTATTGTCAAATTCAAAAGCGAAGAGGTAAGCATTTGCTTGAGTACGGAAAGATAACCAATTTTAAGAAGGCTATATTTAAGGATGTTCCCTGGTCAGATAGGAAAATATTCAATAGTATTTAACTTTTTCTCAAAAATGGTTTTCTGGGATTCTCACGGGCAACAAAGAATATTAAAACTTTAAAAACCATATGTTAGTGTGCTTTTTTCTGAGCAAGAGGCCTCTAAAGTGTCAATATTTGACAAAAGTGGGCGTGGCACTTTCTCATTGAAACCCATGTTAAAAATCAGGTTTTCACCCCAAAACACACTTTTGAATATTTAACTTTTTCTTAAACTCACAGAAACACTTAGTTATGCTATGTACTTCACATTTTGAAAAGAAAAATTAGGGGTTGGTGTTCATCGTTTTCAACTTCGTCCAGGGAACATCCTTAAGCTAAATCGCGGGATAATTTCACATGAAAATAGTGATTTTCTGATTTGTTCATATTATTTATTTATCTAAAAAATCTTGGATCTCGATTTGAAATATGGCAAATATATATCTATACTCGTACGAGCTTGATTCTTGACTTTATTCCGTCCAAACCCATATTGCTAAACCCATTATCATACCGGAATAGCCTGACAACGGTAAAGTCAGATACCGTTGTCACAAATGGCGGACATAACCGTCGCTTTAATTATATAGATTTTCATGAACTGTATGTTTAATAGAGCATCTAGACTAAATTCCTTTGGAACAACAATCAATCAAAGTGTCTTTGTACTCATTGTACAGTTAATAATGTTCTACCATCAAAATAAAGTCTTTAATTTAACCGATCAAAATGAGATACAAGACAACCGACAGTGTAATTACCATATGCCGTTGTCTTTCTAAATTACTCAAATTCAGATTCCGTTGTCATTGACGATATCGAAGATGCTATATATTGTAGCAATTCACGACCTAATTTGATCGAAAATGGGATTTCATATGATACATTATCACTAGAGCTTAATACATGCACAGAATTAGCGACGATAAAATCCCATGAAATGAGGACTAAGTGATTAAACAGTTGAAGCCACGGTTATGTCCGCCATTTGTGACAACGGTATCTGACTTTACCGTTGTCAGGCTATTCCGGTGTGAATGTGTAAGCATCACCTGGGAAGCATCATCTATCTAGCCAATGTGTAATAGCTTCCCTGATATACTAAAAGGTGGCAGGCCAAGGAGGGTATACTATAAAGGTCTATTACACACTTCAGTACAAAGTGAAGTGACATCTATTCATTCTGTTAATGTGATCTGGGTCACAGACAGTATCTAGAAACCAAGGCATGCAAAATGTCATCACCTTATAATTTTTTACAGACGCTAAACGCCGTCCACAAACAAGTTTGAGACCAATTAAAACAATATGTCACTTCTGGGGGTAACATAACAATGGATAAAGACAAGTCAATGATACCTATGAAAAGAAATAACTTCTTACAAAATACACGCTCTTCGTTAGACGCGTTCAACTTCGAATAATCAGTGTTATGTATGTGTGTACTATAAGATTATCTTACAATATCACAACAAATAAATAATAGTAGTTCTATCGTATCTTTCTTACATTGTTGCCCCTATCTATAGTCACCAAGAAGTCTAGCATCAAGCCCTTGTATAACCTCCAACATAATCACATTATACATGGTACGTAATAAATAATGGGAGATGACAGAGATTTTATATGCGAGATTACTCGTGTGCTGATTTTTGCATTAATCTGTTACAGGCTGAACCAAGAGACGAAAATAAAAGGCATAAGAACTCCTCATTCAGTCTTGAATTCGAATGGACAGTGCTCGCAACCAACCCCCATCCCCCCTCAAAAATATCCATATATCTTATAATCATCAGTTGTGAATCAAATAATAGCAATATATATAATTGCTAGAAATCGTGTGATTTGATTGGCTGATTAAGTTCCATGTGATCAAAAATACCATAGCGTATCTCACAGCTCCTTAAACAGCATGAAATATTTGCGTAATATAGAAATGATATCTTGATGAAGCAGGATATATGGATATGTGTATCCACCGTTGTATTACACGTTGTGTGTTTCCCCTTCCAATATTCCCATGAGGCGAGTTTTGGTTCAGTGTATATACCAAAGGAGATCTGCCACAGGAACATTATAGTAAAATTGTTCCAACATTTGCTACGGCGACAGTACGGCCAATAGCAATTGTACGGTCGCCATGGAATATCTGCGGTCGGATACTTTAGCAATAAAATCAACACCCACCCTATGTGTACCAATTGCAAGAACCTCCATTTTCCTTGATACTCAGAGTGGAAGGGGGAGGTTTTTTAACTTTTTTACTGACACCACTGGTACCGCCTTTAAGATATGACATAAACATAAAATATATTTACCTGCACATATATAGACCCATATCGCCCATATCTGGGTCGGTAGCTGTCTATGGAACATTTCAGATCTTTGCTCTAAATCCTCATCGCAATGGTAGAATAAATTATATCCAATTTTTAGTCGTAGATTTATATTTTTGACTTTTGATTACAACACCACTTAGCACCTGTGAGAAACAGGTACAATATACCTATTTAGTTATATACTGTATTGTATTTGTTATCTCCTCGAAGAAATTCAATGGACAACGAAGACAATACGAATCAAGGGGTCGGCTAATTAGGTCAAATAGATAATAGTAAAATCTGGTTCAAAAAACGTTCCTTGGGAATTGAAATTCCAAATCTTAGTAAAAGTTGAGAGTTAAGTACTGTATTTGTGTAGTGTGATGTATTTGATATCGTGGAAATGCATGGAAATGCGTAATCATATTAGGAATACCGTTACTATTTGATACGACCCCTCTATGTTTTTATCTACTTATGCTCTCAATGTCAAGCGTGCGAGTTAAGAGGCGCTGAAGGATCAGGTTTCTGCTGACATGCCTTTTTCATATCATAAGACAATGAGAGATACAATATGGTTGAACATAATTTTAATCATTAAATTTTAGGTTTACGTAGCCCTAATATAAGGGAGGTTAACTTACACGTTTTTTAAACTTGTACGCGAAAGTGTAGAAGTATGGTTCTCTATGGATTATTAGTTCTCCCATTTGTAGTATTAGCTTGACCGATTGGGTATAACGTATACGGACGGTAATACCCGGCCCCTGGGGTCAAACTATTACACGCTCATGTACAGGTTCTCTCAAAACGTGTAACTAACCTCCCTCTTACTTGACTAAAATAAGGTATATATTTTGCATTACATGAGACACTTTAGTCCATTTGTCATTTTCTTAACGTTAAAAAACATGATGTTTTTCTGTGCAAATACTATCATTAGGGTTTATTGGAGTGATTTAGCTGGGTTGCCAAAAAATTAATGTTGGGGAAAATTTTTGTATCTATCACCATGGTAACATACCAGGTACATGGTGGTATCCCGACGCTAAGTCAATAGTCAACGCCATGTTAAGCCAATGCACCCCTCCCTAATTAGCCGATATACTTTTTTCCCCAAACTAACTTTTTGTCCAACCCAGTTAAATCACTTCAGAAAACCCTTGTTATTAAATTAACCATAAAACATCGTGTTTTTAACAATTCATAGGTTCACTATAGTATGTATAGGGGTGACAAATGGACTACTTCTAAATATGGCGACCACTAATTATCCGACAAATCTTGATATTTATATGTACAAATGAATTACGATATGTTATTAAAGACCCGACTATCTTCTTAAGAAGGTTCTGGTTATTGTTTTCGTAAGCGTTCGATGGAGAGATTCGGGTAAAGCATTTCAACTTTCTCTCATTTTTATCCTTATTCATATTCCATCTTACATACTATGCCACCCCCATTCTCTCTATTTGAGTGACAGACCATTCCCATTCAAACCCGTAACATATTTTCATTAAAATACAGTACAAAGAAAATGAGGCCAGGGTAACTTGACCCAATTAATATACTTATGTTAAATTTGAACGGAACGTGGAAAATAAAGAGCTGTCCAGTTAATTAGATAAAGCTCTCTTTTAACATGTTTAAAGAAACACAAACATTAACACTGCACTGGATGATTGTTGTCGACCCAGAATGGGAATCGCATAGTCATGAGAGTATTAATTGAAGGATATGTACACTCATTGTGTCAAGATTGATAACGTTGATAAGGAGGTCATTTTAACCAAGGACTCAATACCCTTTACTCGATTCATTGGGTCACACTCCTCTGAGGACCTCAAATGATTCTGGGGTTGTACTTACCTTAAAATTATGTAGTTATAGCTTCCGAATTCGACTGCATCCTCCATCAGTAACGCTCTGGTTGACTTCCCGTAATTTTAAGGTAAGTAAAAGAGGAATCCACAGTCATAAGTTTAGAGCTTACAGACATATTTGGTACTTATAGTTTAAATTGTTGGAAACATTCTAGAGATCTTTTAAAATTCCATGCCATTGTTCCCATAACAACACAAAACTATGGAGACCAAACAAAATAATGCCACCTCCACCTTTTTTTTCATTGACTCATACACTTTGAAAGTACCCAAAAAGCCCCAAATAGCATCTTAAAATTGAAAAATTTTCTAGGGGTATTGGCCACCCCTCACACCCCCCACAAAACAATGGAAAGTTCTTTTATTTTAGTGTTTTGTCTCAGACACTTTTAAAGTGCCCAGACATCATCAAATAGCTCCTTGATATAGTTAGTGTTTCTGGGGGACTTGCTCCCCCTCTTGCATCTTGCACTTGCCCCCCCCCCCCCACTCTGGCGCCCCCCCCCCTCTGGCGCCCCCCCCCCTTGACCCCCCCCCCAAAAAAAAAAATTGTGATTTTCTCAAATTCTTTAATTGACTCATACACTTTGAAAGTGCCCAGAAAGCACCAAAAAGCGTCGTAAAATTGTAAAATTTTCTAGGGGGAGTGGGCCACCCCTCACACCCCAAACAAAACAATGGAAAGTTCTAAATTTATTTTAGTGTTTTGTCTTAGACACTTTTAAATTGCTCAGACATCATCAAATAGCTCGATCCGTGATTGACTCATATCGCACAGGCGTACCAGATGGTTGCAAATTCGCTCCAAATACAACCAAATTTCAAAATTTTCCTGGGGGGAGAACCCCCAGACCCCCTAGGCCCTGAATGCTCAGTTTTTTATTCACTCAACTCTTATTCCCGTGGTGGTGGCGTACTACTTAGAAACTTACACATTGAAAGTGCCCAGAAAGCACCAAATAGCATCTCAAAACTGTAAAATTTTCTAGGGGGAGTGGACCACTCCTCATACCCCCCACAAAACAATTGGAACGTTTGGAAGTTGCATTTGTTAATTCCAAACCAATATAGGGAGTAACTGACCCCCCCCCCCCCCTCTGTCTTACGCGATTTGATTACGCGGCAAAAAAATGACAATTTTATATTCTCTTTAGTAAGCTAATCATATTAGGACCAAAAACAAATAACATAATTAAAACTGGAAAACATACAATACATATTCATCATCTCATCTATTTCTCCGGTTTGTATCTCCCGGTAATCGTTATGCCTTGAGCCACCCCCCCCCCCATTACAGATACTTTAAATACACTTATTTTGACGCTACTTAATTTGACGAATTTGCTCAATTTCAAATATTGGCGGCTATTTAATTTGGCGGAATCAGGACTGAAGTTTTTGTCTATGTTTATGCATGGGCTATCAAAAGATTCTCTCGAAAGCCCATGGTTTATGTCATTAGGACGGGTATTTACTAAGATATTTTCTGTATTTCTTTTGGGATAATGTATGACATGTTGATGACATGCTCAGTTGACAGGAAAAA